TTCCTAGTGCATATAAATTATGTTTATACTATACTGTAGTCTGTTAAGTATACAACAGCATTATGTCTAAAAAAACAATGTACATATCTTAATTAAAAGATACCTTATTGCTAAATAATGTTAATGGTCATCTAAGCCTTTACTGAGTTATAATCTTTTTGCTGGTGGAGGGTCTTGCCTTGATGTTGATGGCAGAAGACTGACAACAGTAGTGGTTGCTAAAGGCTAGGGTGGCTGTGGCAATTTCTTAAAATAAGACAACAATGAAGTTTGCCAAATTTATTGACTCTTTCTTTCACAAAAAAATTTCTCTATAGCATGTGATGCTGTTGAAGAGCAATTTAGTTACAGAAATTCTTTCAAAATTGGAGTCAAACCTCTCAAACCCTGTCTGCTACAGCTTTATCAGCTAAATTTATGTAATAGTCCAATTCCTTTGTTATCATTTCAACAATGCTCATAACATCTAACAGGAGTACGTTCTGTCTCAAGAAACCATTTTCTTTGCTCATCCATAAGAAGCAACTCCATCCAAGTTCCATCATGAGATTCCCAACAATTCAGTCACATCTTCAGGTTCCACTTCTAATTCTGGTTCTTTTGCTATTTCTACCACATCTGCAGTTACTTCTTCCACTGAGTCTTGAACCCCTCAAAGTCATCCATGAGGGTTGGAATCATCTTCTTCCAACTACTGTTAATGTTGGTATTTTCACCTTCTCCCATGAATCACAAAGGTTTTTAATGACAGCTAGAATGGTAAGTCCTTTCCAGAGATGTTTTTAATTGACTTTGCCCAGATCCATCAGATGAATCATCTCTGGCTGCTAAAGCCTTATGAAATGTATTTCTTAAGTAATAACACTTGAAAGTCAAAATTATTCCTTGATCCATGGGCTGCAGAATGAATGCTATGTTAGCAGCCATGAAAATGACATTAATCTTCCTATACGTTTCCATCAGAGCTCTTGGGTGACCAAGTACTTGGTTAATGAGTAGTAATATTTTGACAGGAATCTTTTTTTCTGAGCAGTATGTCTCAATAGTGGGCTTAAAATAGTCAGTAAACGATGCTGTAAACATCTGTGCTGTCATCTAGGCTTTCTTGTTCCATTATAAAGCACAGGCAGAGTAGATTTAGTCTAATTCTTAAGGGCTGTAGAGTTTTCAGACTGGTAAATGGCATTGGCTCCAACTTAAAATCTCTGTGTTAGCCCCTAATCAAAGAGTCAAACTGTCCTGAAGCTAGGCACTGACTTCTCCTCTGTACCTATGAAAGGTCCTAGAAGTCATCTACTTCCAAAAGAAAGCTGTTTCTTCTACACTGAAAATCTCTTGTTTAGTGTAGCTACTTTCATTGATGACCTCAGCTAGATCTTCTGAGTAACTTGCTACAGCTTTTCCATATGCACTTGCACTTTAACCTTACAGAGAGTTTCTTTTCTTAAACCTCACGAACCAACCTTCACTAGCTTCAAACTTTCCCTTTGCAGCTCTCTTCGCCTTCAAAGAATTGAACAGAATTAAGCCTTTCTCTGGATTAGGCTTTGGCTTAAGGGAATGTTGTGGCAGTTTGATATTCTATCCAGATCACTAAAACTTTCTCCATACCAGTAATAAGACTGTTTCACTTTCTTATCATTTGTGTGGTTCACTGGAGTAGCCCTTTTAATTAATTTCTTACAAGAACTTTTCTTTTGCATTCACAACTTGGCTAACTCTTTAGATGCAAGAAGTCTAGCTTGTGGCCTATCTAGGCTTTCAACATGCCTTCCTCACTATACTTTAATCATTTCTAGTTTTTGATTTAAAGTGAGATACTCTTCCTTTCACTTGAACACTGAGAGGCCACTGTAGGGTTATTAATTGGCCTAATTTCAATATTGCTGTGTATCAAGGAATAGGGAGGCCCAACTAGAGGCAGAGAGACAGGGGAATGGCCCTGTTAGAACAGTCAGAACACATACAACATTCATTGAGTAAGTTCATTGTCTTATATAGGCACAGGTCATGGCACACCAAAGCAATTACAGTAGTAACATAAAAGATTACTAGTCATAGATCACCATAAGAGATAAAGTTTGAAAAACTGCAAGAATTACCAAAATGTGACAGACACACAAAGTGGGCATATGCTGTTAGAAAAATGACGTCAATAGACTTACTCGATGCAGGGTTGCCACAACCTTCAATTTGTAAAAAAAAAAAAAAAAAAAAAGCTCAGTATCTGCAAAGTATGCTAAAACAAGGTGTGCCTATAATTTCTTTATACACAATAATGGAGATAATCAAAATAGCAGACCCCTCTAAAAACCCTGGAAATTAACTCCTTCTAAATGAAAATGGCCTTTTCTAACTTTGTCACGTATTGCTTTAGAGCTCCAGTAAAAGTCAGGTATCTATATAATCTTTCAGTATTTCTAGTTCTGCTGCTTCCTGTCCTCTGACAAAAACAAATAACCCAAGTTCAGATCTGTCTAAATCCTAAGTAACAGGTGATTCCTAGGCATACCTTGTTGTAGAGACAGCTCAGAGGGAAAAACTGGAAAACGAAGAATTAACTTGTGTAATATTTAATATCTCATAATACAAATGTTTTTACCATATAAAAACATGCTCAACATCTCTAAGCATCAGAGAAATGCAAATCAAAACCACAATGAGATACCACCTAACCCCAGTGAGAATGGCCTGTAACAAGAAATCCCCCAACAACAAATGCTGGCGAGGATGTGGAGAGACAGGCACACTCTTACACTGCTGGTGGGACTGGAAATTAGTGCAACCTTTGTGGAAAAGAATTTGGAGATACCTCAAACAGCTAGAAATAGAAATACCATTCGACCCAGCAATAGCATTGTTGGGCATCTACCCAAAAGAGCATAAGATATTCTATTACAAAGACATCTGCACCCAAATGTTTATGGCAGCACAATTCACTATTACACGGTCATGGAAACAATCCAAGTGCCCAGCAACTCATGAGTGGATAATTAAAATTTGGTATATGCTCACAATGGAATATTACTCAATTCTAAGAAATGACAGTGAGCTAGCACTGTTTATGTTATCCTGGATTAAGCTTAAGCCCGTTATCCAAAGTGAGGCATCACAAGAACTGGAAAATGGGCTCCACATCTACTAGCCATTAAATTGGTACTGACTAAAACTATGGTGCTCAAACGGTGGTAGTGTACACCAGGGATGGGGGGGGTAACCCACATCTTAGGGATGTGGCAAGCATTGTAGGGGGGAAGGGAATACCTCTAACCCTTCTTAGGGAGAGGCAAAGATATACAAATAAATGTAACTAAAATGTCAAAACAAACAAACAAACAAAACTTTTATCAGGTGGTGGGCAGGTGGAAGGGGGGGAGGAGGGGAAGGGTGTATACTTACATAATGGGTGTGGTGCACATCACCTGGGGGTTGGACATGCTTGAAGCATTGGGGGGGAGGCAGGGGCAATATATGTAACCCTAACAATATTTGTACTCCCATAATATGATGAAATAAAAGAAAAAAAAAATGGTAAACCATCCAGAGACATGTGTTAAGAAGCATGTCTCAGAGATTTCTGGGTCAAAAAAAGAGTATCAAGAACCATTAGAGAAAAATAAAGCTTCTACTGGCACAATGTACATCAGCAAGAACATTTAATATGATTTATAAAATCTGATTTACACATAATTTTCACAAACAAACCTACTGGATTGAATAAAATATAGAGTATATTTTAGGAAAACATGTTCAAGAATTTTGAATGCTCCAGTTAGTTAATCATTCTTTTTCATGTCAAAGAGACACAATCAACAGTGAAAAGGCAATTTAGGAAACGAGAGAAAATATTTATAAATCTTGTACCTCTGGCAAGGGATTCACATCCAGAATATATAAAGAACTAAAATACAATCACAAAAAAAATCAAGTAAGCCAATTAAAAAATTGGCAAAGGACTTGAATAGATCTTTCTCCAAAGAGTATATACAAATGGCCAACAAGCATATAAAAAGATGTTCAACATCACTAATCATCAAAGAAATACAAATCAAAACCTTAGTGAGATAAAACCTCAGTGAGTTATCACCTCACTTCAATGACATTAAGACCCATCAGGATGGCTACTATGAAAAAAGAGAAAATAACAAGTGTTGGTGAGAATGTGGAAAAATCAGAACACTTGTGCACTGTTTGTGGGAATGTACAATAGTGCAACTGCTATGGAAAACAGTACAGAAATTCCTTAAGAAATTAATAATAGAACCATCACATGATCCAGCAATCCTACTTCTGGGTATATACTCAAAAGAAATGAAAGCAGGATCTTAAAGAGATATTTACATACACATGCTCATAGCAACACTATTCTTAACGGCCAGGAAGTGAAAGAACCCAAATGTCTATCAGTGGATGAATGGATAAACAAAATGTAGTATATACATACAATGAAATATTTTCCAGTCTTACAAAGGAAGGAAAACGGTCACATGCTACAACATGGATGAACCCTGAGGACATTATGTGAAATGAATAAGCCTGTCACAAAAAGACAAATACTATGAGTCCACTTATATGAGGTATCTAAAGCAGTCAAATTCATAGAAACACAAGGTAGAATGGTAGTTACCAGGAGTTTGGGGAAGAGGGAGTTATTGTTTGCTGGATATGTAGTTCAAGTTTGCAAAATGAAAAAGTTCTGGAGATCTGTTTCACAATGTGAATATACTTAACGGCAATGAACTGTACAGTTAAAAATGGTTAAAATGGTAAATTTTGTTCTTTACCACAATTTAAAAATTCAAACATAAATTTTTAAAGTTAAAGCTTATTGAATTATCCATGACTCATTATAAGAATGATTAAACACACATGCACATACTTACAAACAAAAACCTATTAGACTAAATAAAAAACCTATTAGACAAATGCCTAAAAGCTTCTGAAAAGTAAATACTCTAGATTATACAAAAGTAATATTAAAAACATACGATACTACTTACCTCGGCTTGTCTCTTTTTTCTCTTTGTCTTTCAAAATCTCGTCCTCTTTCCTTTCCATCTCTTGGTTTTTCTTCTATCCTGTCTTTTACTTTATACTTTTCTTTGTATTTTTTCCCCAGAGCAATATCTTCTGGTATAGGAGGGGGTGGACTTGGAGTGCGTGGTCCTTTCTTTTTACTTTGGTTGCTTTTTGAATTCCTGAAGGTAACACAAAGCTGTCATTAGACATCTGAATATTTCTGAAAGGCCAAATGGATTTTTTTAAAGCACTTTTTAAAAATGTCAGTATGCTTTTCAACTACTTGCCCTTTACTATATTGTATATTAGTAACCAACATCCAGGAAAAAAAAGTAACTCACAAAAACAAGTAAAGAATTAATTTAGTTGCTACTTATTTTCCTAACACTGCTTATTATTACCTAATTTTAAAGGGTGGATTTCTGAGAAAGATAAGAGGTTTAATAGGAAGGGACTTTCAAAAAAGAAAATACTATAAAATGACTGCTTGAACAGCATCTTTTACAGCTTATGTAGACACACAGATTAAGAAAGTAAAATTTACCTATAATTCTACTACAAAAAGATAACTATTTTTAATATCTTGCATATACTTTCACATCTTTTTCTTTCTCTAACTGCTCATCTAAAACTGGATATCCACATGCAAAAGAATGAAGTTGGACCCTTACCTAGTACCATATAACTCAACATGGGTTAAATCTAAGACCTAATACTACTAGAAGAAAGACTTAAACAACTAGAAAATATAGAGGAAAAGCTTCATGACATTGGACTTGGCAATGATTTCTTGGCTATGACACCAGAGGCACAGGCAACAAGACCAAAAAGTGGACAACTGGAATTACTATATATATGGTCACAACTATTTTCTCATCATTAGAAATGGCTGTTAATCTCTCTGTCACACACATTCATGAAATATCCTATTATAATATTTTGTAAGATTTTTTTGGACTGAACATATACTTACTATCAGCATCTTTTTCTACTACAACAAAAAGTAGATTTAGGTAATCATTTATAGACGACACAGAATTTCCTTGAATAGATGCTCTTTAACTTCTCTCTGTCACCTGGGCTTGCATACAGTAGCATCATCGCAGTTGACTACAACATCAAATTCCTGGGCTCAAGCAATTCTTCTGCCTCAGCCTCCCCAGTAGCTGGGAAAACAGGCATGTGCCACCACACTTGACTAATTTTTCTATTTTTTTGTGGAGACAGGGTCTTGCTCTTGCTCAGGCTGGTCTTGAACTCCTAGCCTCAAGCAACCCTCCTGCCTCAGCCTCCCAAAATGCCAGGATTACAGACATGAGCCACCATACCCAGCATCTTTAACTTCTTTAAATAATTTCATAGTGATAAGGTTTTCTGGTAGCTTCTAAGTTTTCATCATTATAAAGAAAACCCAATCATATCATCTATAAATGAAATCTCAAGCATTGTTAGTAAACATTCACTTAAATCTTTGAATCTTGTTTAAAAAATTTTTCCCAACTCTTAGATCACAAAGATGGTCCCCTAACATTTTAGAATTTTGCCTTTCACATTTAAGTCTTTAATCTACCTGTAATTGATTTTTGTGTATAAATTATCCTTTTTAAGTGCCTCTTTTTGGCACTTAATTTTATGTAAATATTATAACTTTGATTCCTTACGCATCTAAAACTGGCTGTTTTTGCCTCATACCTGAACAATAGTTTGAATGAATGCAGCATTTTTGTGTCAAAATCCTTTTCCTCAGAGCTCTATAAATATTATAATACCTTGTAACATTAGTGCTGTAGATAAGATGTCCAAAGACAGTCAATGTTTTTTTTTTAAACTATTCAGGTGACCTGGTTTTTCTGTTGGGAGATTTATAAAACATTATTCCTTAGAAATCATTCATTAGAAATAATTTTCACCAAGTTTTTTTTTTCTTAAACTTTTCCAGCACTCAATGAACTGGTTCAATCTGAAACTTCACATTTTTTACTGAATGTCTTCTATTTTTATTTCATCACTTTTCCATATGACCCAAGTCTGTACAGTTCTCCTTATTACAGTTATTGGATCTCTTGGGCCACTCCCTCATGTCATAGTTTTCTTTCATTTCCATCTCTCCTTTTGCTTTCAAATATCTTAAGTTTGTCCTTTAATTTCTAATTTTTCCTTTTAAGTAGCATGCATTCCACTAATTCTAAATTTGGCAATCCCATTATTCTGCTATTTTGTTTGCAAATTTTTTTTCTTCCAAAATATCCTTTTCACAGACTGGTTTGTTTTGTTGTTCATGATTAACTGCCCTCATCTGCTTTCAAATATCTTAAATTTGTCTTTTAATTTCTAATTTTTCCTTTTAAGTAGCACACATTCTATTAATTCTAAATTTGGCAATCCCATTATTCTGCTATTTTATTTAAGTAGCCTGCATTCTACTAAGTCTAAATTTGGCAATCCCATTATTCTGCTATTTTGTTTGCAAATTTTTTTCTTCCAAAATATCCTTTTCACAGATTGGTTTGTTGTGTTGTTCATGATTAACTGCTCTAATCCTATAAATGTAATACTCTTTCAAATCATACTACCCTTATAAATTAATTAATTATTAAGGACTATTCCTGTTTTCTATATAAGCCATCTGCTCTGAGTTTCAGTCTGGTACTTCACACATTGGTAAGTTTTCACTATCTACTCATTTCACTTATAAATGAGGACCTTACCTTAAATCCTAGAACTTATTTCCTATTATCTAGAATTCTCTAGTCCCAAGATTCCTTACCTATAAAAGAATAAATTCCTCAAAATTGCTTCTAAGATTAAAAAAAAATAAAAGTATATAAATGACTCATGGTGAGCATTCAGAAAATTTAGCTCTCTTAGCCTTTATCCCTATTTCTTTTTTTTTTAAGTTCAAAATATTAAGGGGGCACCAATGTTTTTGTTATATAGCTTTTATAATGCTTAATTCAGGGTGATTAGTGTGCCCATCACCTAAGTACTGTTCACTAGCCCTATTTCTTATTTTTATAGATAGGGTTAACCACCCAAGCAAGTCAGAAATTACTAAAATATGATGACCGCATCTATTTTTCATCCTTGTCTTCTGCCAACAACCACGTTAGCCAAATATCTCACTGCATATTTACGTGATGACTCAAACTTACACCTAACAGACAAGTGATAAATGTCTGTATTTCTAAATATTTTTCTATTTTAAAGATAAAAACTAATAGTTGGCATCTATCAAAAATTACTTTTAAAAATTTCAAGATAAAACGATGGAGGAATTCTTAACACAAACTGTACTTTCACATTACTGCCTGTGACAGAAACTAGCTGAGTGTTTACAAAACTTTTCTCCTGGGCACAGTGCTAAACCATACTATCTATACTTTTTTGAAATTAGGTGTGGCCAAGTGACTATGATCTGGCCAAAGAAATGTGAGCGGAAGTGATATATATATATACCATTTGCAGGCCCAATCTCAAAGGACACTCATGTGCCAGGGAATTTTAAACTATAGAGCTAAATAAGCGCAATGCTCAAATTTTTCTTGGTACATTCCATTCTGTGGTTTCCTTGGAAGCCCAAGAAAGTAGAGTCAAAAGGAACCTGGGTTATTGAACCTGCATGTATATAGGACAGTCACCTGTTAATCAGAAATACCCATTTTGATTTCACATGAGCAAGAAATAAACTTCTGTTGTAATTAACCACTGACATTTTGGAATTTAGCTATTATCAAAACTAGGATTACCCTAATGTACTTATTAAGTACAGAATTTCTTCACATTACCCTTAAAATTATAGTCGTTAGAAAACACAATGAAGTTATAATGCTTTCCAACTGAAGAGGCCAAAATTGGTTTTAGCCAGTCTGAAGTCAACAGATCTTACATTGATTAAATCAACTGATGATTCTGTTAGTGGAACAGAGTCTACTTCCTCTTTGAGGCATAAAGCCCACCTGTCTACTTTTATCATTTTTAAATTGTTTATCTGTCTCTCCCCAAAACTATTTCTTTAAAACAGCTGTTGACATACTTCATACTTATTTGCAGAGCAAGCTATAAATAAAAATTTACCTAAAGAAAACTGTCGCGCCCGCCTCGCCAGCAAGGAAGACGCGGCAACCGGAGTTCTTCTGACAGTGCTTTAATGGGGTTCCCTTTAGACTTACATGATGCGGAAGACCCAGCCCAGCAGCGCGCAGGCTGCTATATACCCTCGAAGCACAACCCCTAAGCTGGGATAGGCCGCTCAGCTGTCGAGCCACCAAAGCATTAGTCCATAGCAGGACCCTTCGTTTGCATGCTTGCACCACAGGGCAACCGACAATTGCGCGTGCGCTGAACTTGTTTGCTGCTCTAGGCAAAGCCGGAAACAGGCGCCAACTTGTAAATGGCGTTGACACCGCGCCCCACAGAAAACTAATATTAAAAATACAGATGGACAAAATAGATAATATATTTATGATTTTAAATCACACATCAGGATAAATCTTACCATCAGACTGTATCTCACAATGATTGTCAAAGAAAAATGCCAACTTTGACAGAAAAATGTTGAGTTTTGTCAGTAATTATATCTGCCTCCATATGACAACCTAATAAGACCAAGAAGTGTGTTTACTTGATTGTTACCTCAGTTGACTTACTGGCATTGGTTGAAATACTACGTTGAATTTTAACTGAAATTCTAATCCTTACTCCTGCTTAATATGTTTTCAAACAGTTTATAGTATGATCCAGCCATAAAACTAAAAGTTAATTATCTGACACAATCTAAGCAATGAAAACTGCACAGCTAAAGAAATGCTATACTCAATTTGATGTTTTCTTTGTATCTTTAATGTGCTGGTTTCCAGGTCCTTCTGCTTCTGTTACTAAATTAATGGTGGATCTTAAAGTCAACAACATATTAGAATACAGGAAATACAGTAGTTAAACCAGTATAATTATTTATGACAAATATTTATCAAAAGATGAGTTACTAATAAAGCAGTAAGAGATTATATGAACAAGAAGAGGATGAAAACTAACCCTTCATCTAAATAGTTATCAAAACTTTATAGGAAGAGATTAAGTTTCAAGGATTTTGAATAGAAAGGATAAGAAAATAAAGGATATTTCTTGTATGCAGTTTATTGAAGAAATAAATGGAACTGAGGGAAACTTATATAATTGGTTAGCCAAGAGGATAAAGAGCAAGTGGGGTAGATCGTGTAATTCCATGGCTCAACTTCTGCAATACCCCTTTCCAATATTTACTTGATCCCAGGAACAAAGAAGATCAAGTCAACTTTACTGAGTACCTTCTTAGAAGCAAAGCTCTATGCAAAGTAGGTGCTATGGGAAGATGGAACTATTAACCATTACGATCTCAATCTTCAAGGAGCTTAAATTTAATAGAGGTTGTAAAAGATGTGTGTCACAGCTGAAATATAATACAAAAGGCAATTAATATTAATAAGGAGTATAAACAAAATCTGATAGGTACACAAAGGGAGCAGAAATTATGTTCAGTAAGGAAAAATGGGAAAACTTAATGAAAAATTTAGCATTTGAGCTAGAGATTGAAGGATTGAGGGGAGAAGACGATACATAGGAGGAAACTACACAAAAATATTGACAAGAAAGATCAAACTTTAAATGTCATTCTAAAGACCTGAATTTCATTCTATAAAATGGAAAACCACTGAGTTTTTCAATAGTATAAGAAGTTAACTGGGATTGTCTTTTTAAGATTTCTTTGACAGCATCTGTAAAATGAATGGGTTGAAGCAGCTGAATGAAAATATGTATCTGTGTGGGAGAGAGGACAGCACATAAAGGTAATACAGTTAATAGCATGATATAATAATCTAGGCAGAAAGTAGAGTCTGAAATAGGGTTAGTCTTTAGAAAGTGGAAGGAAGGAGTAAATATGACTTTCATTATGGGGTCAGATAGACATGGTTTACCAATTGATCAAATATGAGGGAGAAGATTTTAGTTTAGTTTTTTTTTAAAATAAAATTAGTACATGTACTTTAATCAAAATAAAATTTAAATAGTACAGAATTACATTGAATGAAAATGTGCTTCATCTCTTATTCGTAATCCCTCAATGTAATTATATTTAATAATTTCTATTTTAATTTCTTCAACTGGCTACTACAGTAATTCTAAATATTAATATATTCATGCTGCTAAGTATATGCTATAAAGAATCTAATCTCTCAATTATGTACACAAAGAGACAAGAAGAATGTTTACTGTGTATAAATTACAAAAGCTTTAAAACTAGATACAACATAAATGTTCAACAACAGAAAAGTAGATTAAATATATAGTACAAATACTAACATAAATGAATTGTTATATACATCAATATAGATAAATGTAAAAAAAGTTAAGTGAAAATGCTAGTTGCAGAAGAAAAGTCATAATGTATCTGTATTATAATTAAATAGATTGGAAAGTAATACTATCTACTGCAAAAACACATATTAATGAAAGTACAAACACATGCACAAGTATCATAAATAAACACCAAATTCAAAAGGGAAGAATAGGAAATGTACCTGTTATGTTTTTTTTTTTTTTTTTTTTTTTTTTTGAGACAGAGTCTCGCTTTGTTGCCCAGGCTAGAGTGAGTGCCGTGGCGTCAGCCTAGCTCACAGCAACCTCAAACTCCTGGGCTCAAACCCTGGGCTCAAGCCATCCTGCTGCCTCAGCCTCCCGAGTAGCTGGGACTACAGGCATGCGCCACCATGCCTGGCTAATTTTTTATATATATCAGTTGGCCAATTAGTTTCTTTCTATTTATAGTAGAGACGGGGTCTCGCTCTTGCTCAGGCTGGTTTTGAACTCCTGACCTTGAGCAATCCGCCCGCCTCGGCCTCCCAGAGAGCTAGGATTACAGGCGTGAGCCACCGCGCCCGGCCTCCCTGTTATGTTTTATTTCTTAAAAAATAGAAAGCTCTGAAGCTTATGTGGATGTGACAGGTATTTGTTTTATTGTTCTCTATAATTTCCATTTTAATAAAATATTTCACACTTTTGGAGGGGATAAATAAGGTTACAAAAAATACTGAAAGTATTAAAAGTATATTTTATAATCTACTATGTAATTCTTACTAGTATCACAGAAAAAAGCTATTTCATTCTGGTACTATTTATCACCCTACTGACCTCTGCTGGTCCAACAGGGGAGAAGATACTGCAGATGTCTTCCTGTCTTTCTTGCTAGCTGAAGATGACTTGGGGCTTGATTTTCGCTTTGGTGATTTGCTAGACTTTCTTAAAGAAGGTGATGGAGACAATTTTGATCTAACCACATCTGGTGAAACCTTTCAAAAGAATTCAGTAAGTCAATTCGGAAATTCCTCCACTCCTGGCACAACAAGACTTACAGTATTTTGAAATTACACCCTACTTCAGATTACAAATTAAGTATTATAGCCACCATCAGTTGACAAGTCTGACTCCGGAACCTATGCCTTTACCAACATGATAGCTAATTGCTTAAAACATATTAATATCAATAAAGCAAATTAAAATTATGAAATTTTAAAATCTCAGAAAAATCACAAATTATATTCAAATAAATTGTATCTCTACTGTTTAGAAAAGAAACAAGGCATTCTAGAAACAGCATGGGCCTGAAATAGACATACATATTGTATATCCAAAGCCCATTTTTTATTAGCTAATGACTCTAGGCAACAGAGCCTCAGTTTTGCTCACTTGTTCAATAGCAAAAATATTTCCTATTTATCTATTAATGTGAAGATTAAATGATTAACATATATGGAGTAGTTGATATACAGTGAGTTGATTAATGATCAGTATCCTAGTATAATTTAAGATGCAGCAAGCAGCTGAGTTAACATCAATGTTGCTATTAATTACTAACAGATTTATTGTAAAAAATAGCATACCTCCTTTTTAATGATAATTTCTTCTCTCTTCTCCATGTTTTCTTGCTCCAACTTCATTAATTCCCTCTGTATCTTCTGACGCTTCATTTCCAATGACAATTCATGAACATAATCATAATTAATATCTCCATTGTCAGAATCTTTAAAATAAAAATTGAATTACTGTCAGAAATTATCATAATACCCCAAATTATTCAATTTCAACTTTTTAAATACAAATTTAAATGGCCGATTCTTTCATCAGAATAACACTTGTAAAAGAAATAAATACTGTTTCTATAAAGGATAAAAATCACCATGATTGATTTCCTTAAGAAATGCTAAACACTTCCAAGGTTTCTGGGTTTTCTGGAAGTGATTTTGGGTTTCAGGGGATTGGGTATTTTGTTAAAAGATAGGATTTCAAAATATACAATTGAGGCACTCAGCTGAATATTCTAAGACTTAAAAATACCAAAGCCTTCTTTATCTCATGCTTCATATGATATGGTTCATGATCTCCTTGATTTTCTTAAAGATGCATTACTAAAGTCAGATTATATCAGGTGTGCAAACATTACTTCTATAGTTTTGTCTTTTTTTTAATGAGACAACTGATTCATATCTAAAAATAAAGTTAACTAACTTTAATATGAATGTGTACAAGAGCTAATTTTTAAGGATTTATAAAAATTTTCAATACAAGTGATTTGTACTATTTCCTTAGATTAGCACTGTCCATCTCAATGGATCTGATGGATATTTCCATTTAATCTTTTCTGATTTAAAAAAAAAACACAAAAAACTGAAAGTTGCTTAAAAAAGAGAAAGGAAAAGGAAGAGTGAAATTTTCAGTGCCTACTGGCATTGGCACCCAACCCCTCACCTTCATTTGCCATAAATGCCAGGAAGCCTGGAAGAGGGAATTTCAACTGACTTCTACCCTAACATAGGAATTGGGCTTGATCATTCACAAACTAAGGTGCCTTCTCAAGCTACACTTTCAGCACATTAGATCATTTCTTAACCTGGGATAAAGAAATAAAATGAACACAAGTCTAAGAAATCATAAAGTAGTCCTACTTGACCACTTAAAGCACAAGAAAATGAATATCATTGTCACTTACAGCTCAAACGCATTAGAATGAAAACTATCCATTCATGTTTGGGGACTTAGAGAGTAATGATATATTTATTATCTGTGTTAACTAAATTTGATTACTCATCTTATGTTGGAGTATGATGACAATCTCTCAAACCAATTCATATAAATGATTCTACGTAACCAGAAAATATTAAATATCATTAGAATGGTGTATTTAACAAGGCAGAGATTTTTAAAGAATATATAACAGAAAAATATGTGCAATATGTAAGAAAAGATTGATATTCTTTATACACAAAGAATTCTTAATAATTAACAGAAGAATGGGCAAAGGACATGACAATTCAGGAAAAGAGAGAAAGAAATGCAAATGATAAATATGACTTTTTCATGTATTAAGGAGACTTTTTAAAAATTATATTATTAATTGTTGGCAAAGGTACAAAGGACATGCTCATTCTTTGGTGGTAGCAATGTAAATTAGATGTAGTACATCTATTATGTTCAATAATTTATCAGTATGGGTAAAAGTCTTAAGAACATTCATACTCTTTAATATAACAATTTTACTTCTAATAATTTATTACATTAAAATAGTCACAAATATATAAAAAATTTATGAATAAGGATTACAGATTATAAATATGGTACTTCCTCTTAACTTTATGACACATTTTATGAGCACACTGTTAAAGTCTTAAACAATTCTGAGTACATGGAATAAAATATGAAATTCCTTCATATTCCTCCCACAACCATCCTCACTCCAGTGGTAACACCACTAATAATTTAGTGTTATATGCATAAAAATAAGTCTTTACATTTTTCTCTAATATAATGGGACCCAAACTACAAACACTGCTGTATAAACAAGATCTTTCCATGTTACACATACAGGTTAACCATCTTTATTTAACATCTGCAAAGCATTTCAGAGTAACTTAACCAGTTTCCTTCTCAGACACTTAGTTTGTTTTCAATATTTTGCTATTATAAACAAGACTTCAATTAACATTCTGATACCTACTTTGGTTCACAAGTACAAGTATTTCTTTATGATATTTCTCAAACTACATTTGCTGGATCAAACAAAAGTTAATTCCTATTTTTAATATTGCCAAACTGGACTCCAAAACAGTTTACCACTGTAAACTCCCACCTGCTAACATTTTTTAATTTTCGCCAAAGTGATAGGTGAAAAATGCTGTCTCTTCATTTTCATGAATACTTCTCTACAGTAAGGTTGAGCATTTAACGGCTATTTTTATTTCTTCTATGAGTTACTGATTCAATATTTTTACTTTTATTTTTTAACTAGACTGTCTTTTTCTAACATATTTATGGAAGCTCATTATATGTTTAATATAGTGTCTCTATTAATGCTTACATATGTTACACAATCAAATACTTTCTTCTAGTTTATTACTTGTCTTTAATTCCTATATTTATTATAGTTACACAGAAATTTCTAATTTTTATGTAACCAAATCTTTTGTGGCTTCTGTTTTATGCCTTATTTTAGGAGAATGTATATATCTCCCAAACTACCAAAATATTTTCATACATTTTCTTCTATTGCAGTGATACTTTTGTTTTTCTGTTGTTGTATTGGTCCTTAGGTACACATGGTGAACAAAGAAGTTGTTTAAGGAACCAAATAAAAAGCCACAGATTTGGGAGTAAGGACTGGAAATTTAGGAAGCAACCAATAATGAAAAGTTTTGTAAGCACAAAAAGAATGTGTATAGTATCTGCTTGTGGATGCTATGGGAAATTAAGAGATTTTTAAACAGAGGAACGAAAAGAACAAATTTATTCTTTTAAAAGATTACTCTGCAACTAATAGAGTGGAAGGAAATACTTGCAATATGTATTATAAATCTGATAAAAACCTCATATCCAGACTATATTATAAAAAGAATTCCTATAATCAATAAGAAAAAATCAAAAGAACAAGCAAACATTTGGAATAGTTTACAAAATACATTGTACAATGGTCAATAAACATGTGAAAAAGTTCTCAACTTTGTTAGGCAAATGTAAACTAAGACCACAATGAGATACCACTACACAGTTCTAGAATGGCTAAGATGAAAAAGGCAAAAAATACCATATAGGTAATTGATACAACCATTTTTGATTTGGCATTACCTACTCAAAAGGAACAAATACATATTCCATGGCCCAATAATTCCACATTGAGGCATAAACTAAAGAGAAATTAAGTATATATTTACCAAAAAATATGTTTAAGAACAGTACTACCATCTTGTTCCCAATAACCCCAAACTGGACATTACTCAAATATTCATCAACAGTAGAAAAAATTATGATATATCCATACAATAAAATATTATATAGCAGTAAGAACTAATAAACTATAACTATGTGAAATAAAGTATATGGTTGAATCTCATAGACAATATTGCTAGCAAAACAATCTAGGCACCAAAGGAATACATGCTGTAGATTCCATTTATATAGAACTTATAAACAGGTAAAACTAATCAATAGTGCTAGAAATAAGGACAGTAGTTACCTTTGGGAGGTGGGGGTAAAGGAGGCAGTGACTAAAAAGAACCATGGGGTGGGGTGTTATGGGATATTAGTAATTTACTATTAATATTAATTGATTTGGATAATTAATACATAGATTGTAAAGAAGCCCCAGGAGCATGATTTAACCTAGAAGGAAAAATTAAAAGTGAGAAAAGAAGGTGGCTAGGTAAATAGAAAGCAACCAAAAGAGTTTTATAAACTGTCTCTATAGACAAGTGGTTCTCAAGGAGTGGTTTGAGGACTAGGGGGTGGGGTTTCCTCCAGACAATTTCAGGAGTTCCACAAGATCAAACTGTTTCTATAATGCATGTTATTTGTCTGGTTTACTAATTCTCTCATGAGTATATGAGTTTTCCAGAAGACATGACACCATTAACAGATTGAATGCAGAAGCAGATATGAAAATCTAGTTGTATTCTATTAAGCCAGACATTAAAACAATTTGTAAAAACATGTAAAACACTGCTACCTCCTCACAATATTTTTTTTTTGCTTTGCAGAGTACCGTTATTTTTCATAAAGGTATATATCAGATTTATTGTCATTGTTAAATGAATTAATAAACATTTTCAAAATTTCCTAAGTTCAATTTTTAATATGGCAATTACTGAAACATGAAATTCACAAAGACAAAAGCTCTTTTGGGGTACTTTAAAAGAGTGCACAAGTGTCCTGAAACCAAAAAGTTTAAGAAACAATACTATATACCAATTTCTTCTGAGTCTAGCTAAAATTGCTATGTACTTTAGATTGACAATGCAGAAGCTAAGTCTATTAAACCCATTTAGTCTCACTATCCAGGGACTGAGGTGACTGACTAACTCCATACTTCAATATTCCCTTAATCGGTACTTTAAAATCATAGAGACACACAATGATTGAACTTATGAGTTTCGATCAAGGGAAAACATAAACTGCCATGTGGATGTTTTGGATGTAAAACTACCATTAAAGACATTCACGCTCACCTTTTAAAAGAATTTCCTAGGCTGGGTGCGGTGGCTCACACCTGTAATCCTAGCACTCTGGGAGATGCTTAAGCTCAGGAGTTCAAGACCAGCCTGAGAAAGAGCGAGACCCCATCTCTACTATAAAAAGAAAGAAATTAGCCAAAGCAACTAAAAAATAGAAAAAAATATTAGCCGGGCAAGGTGGCACATGCCTGTAGTCCCAGATACTTGGGAGTCTGAGGCAGGAGGATCACTTGAGCCCAGGAGTTTGAGGTTGCTGTGAGCTAGGTTGACGCCACGGCACTCTAGCCAGGGCAGAGTGAGACTCTGTCTCAAAAAAAAAAAAAAAAAAAAGAAAAAGAAAAAGAAAAGAAAAGAATTTCCTAAATGAAAGGCTCTTGTAATAAAATCACTTTAGATATTTTTTAACCACTTCAGTATCAGCGTTGACTATAGTCGATAGCCACAGATGAACGTGCACAGCCCAGCATCAACTATAGTCAACAGCCACAGATGAACGTGCACGGCGACCTTAGCCAACAACCGTGATATGAAGGTGCACAGCTGAGCATCAACTTTAGCCAACAGCCGTGATACAAGTTTTCTAATTTTTTTTTCAATTGTATGACAGGTTTTTTTTTTTTTTTAGCGTATTATGGGGGTATAAGTGTTGAGGTTACATACATTGCCCATGCCCATTTATCAAAATAAAATTGTGAACATTTAAAAATAACATAATGAAAACATATATGTATGTTACCCATTCTGATTTACATTACAAGTAAAGCTGCCTGTAAAGTAAAACAAACTTTCAGTGCTTTCAAGCTTTCCTCATCACAAGAGCAAAACGGATTCGTCGTCAATGCACAGCACAAACTATCATGCGGACTATGAGTGCTGGCTGTGGGCAAGGTTTCACAGCCAGTGAGCATCGTACCAAAGTGGTTAAAGAAGGTAGTCAAGTGCAAAGCTTTGGGAATCAACATTTGTGGGACAGACAGAATGCAAGAAAACTCAATATAAGACTGAAAGAATGGGAGAAAATATTTGCTCTCCACACTTCCGATAAAGGTCTGATAACAAGAATCTATCTAGAGCTCAAAAGAATTAACAAGGAAAAAATCAAACAACCCCATCAAGAAATGGGCAACGGAAATGAACACTTTTCTAAAGAAGACAGAATAATGGTCAGCAAACATATTAAAAAAATGCTCAACATCGCTAATCATTAGAGAAATGCAAATCAAAACGACAGTGGGATATCATCTAACCCCAGTGAGATTGGCCTGTATCAAGAAATCCCCAAACAACAAATGCTGGGAAGGTTGTGGAGAGACAGGGACACTCTTACACTACTGGTAGGACTGCAAATTAGTGCCCAACCTCTGTGGAAAAGATTTGGAGATATCTCAAAGAGCTAAAAATAGAAATACCATTCGACCTAGCAATAGCATTATTAGGCATCTACCCCAAAGAGCATAAGACATTCTATTACAAAGACATCTGCACCCAAATGTTTATGGCAGCACAATTCACTATTGCAAGGACGTGGAAACAACCCAAGTGTCCATCAATTCATGAGTGGATTATTAAAATTTGGTATATGTTTACAAGGGACTATTACTCAATTCTAAGAAACGACAGCGAGCTAGCACCGTTTATATTATCCTGGATTGAGCTTAAGTCCATTATCCAAAGTGAGGTGACACAAGATCAGAATAATGGGCTCCACATATACTCACCAGCAAATTGGTACTGACTGATTAATACTATGGTGCTCAAAGGGTGGTGATGTTCATCAGGGATTTGGGGGTTGGGGGGAACAGACCCACATCTGAGGGATGTGGTGAGCATTGTGGAGAGGAAGGGCATACATTTAACCCTTGCTAGGGAGAGGCAAAGATATAAAATGTAACCAAAATGTTAAAAAAAAAAATTTTTATTGGGTGTCAGGCAGGTGGGAGGGGAGAGGAGGGGATAGGTATTTACAGACACAGTGAGTGCAATGCGCACTGTCTGGGGGATGGACGGGAAGCTCTGACTTGAAGGGGGAGGAGAAGCAAGGGCAATGTATGTAACCTTAACGTTTGCACTCTCATAATATGCTGAAATTAAAAGAAAAAAGACTGAAGGGCTTGAACAGGAAGACAGAAAACTGAAGAGTAATAGATGGAAGCCCAGGGAAGAGTGTTTTTTAAGACTATAGGAGCTCTTGGATGCATCAAATGCTATAGAAAGGTCTTATAGAGACAAGTACTTTTCCATTTAGTCACCAAAAAGGAGGTTATTAGTGATCTTGAAGAGCTTTTAATGGAGAATTGGGTGGTCAGAAGATTAACTAATAAGTATCAGGTGAAAAAGTAGAAATAGTAAGTTACTGAACTCTTGTAAGAATTTAGTTGTTAAGTGGAGATAGTACTAGCTAACAGTAACATGAAGAAAAGAGAAAATGGATTTTTAAAGATTTAGAAAAGAATATATAATAACTGAACAAAATTGCTGAGATAGGAGGAAATCAGATCTAGAATACAAGGGAATATATTAACCTTACATAGCAGGAGGGGGGCCTCTTACACTGAATAAAAGAGAAGCAAAAAAGTTTAGCCATGAATAAAAGATTAGTTTGTGGGTGTGGCAGGAGAAAGCTGAGCGAGTTCCTGGATGAAGAGTTCCTTCATTGCTGTGTAGTAGACCATAAAAAGGAGAAATAAAAGCACAGGAGATTTATGGAGAAGGTTTAACAGCTACTTTAAAATCAAGGAAAGAACTGACAGGCTTTTCTGAATCTGCTAAATTTTCAACAACTGGCTAAGATTATTATTAATTAGAAGAAGAAAATTTCCATTTGTAAAGATAAGCATCCAATACATTTAAAAATGTTTTTTATCTAAAATAATTAAAAAGAAAAGGAAGAATACTGGGTGTATTAAGAGTTAATCCCAGCTGGCATAGTGGCTCATGCTTATTATAATCCTAGCACTCTGGGAGGCCAAGGTGGGCGGATGGATCCTTTGAGCTCAGGAGTTCAGAGACCAGCCTGAGCAAGAGCAAGATCCCCGTCTCTACTATAAATAGAAAGAAACTAGCTGGACAACTAAAAATATAGAAAAATTTAGCCGGGCATGGTGGCACATGCCTGTAGTCCCAGCTACTCGTGAGGCTGAGGCAGAAGGATCACTCGAGCCCAGGAGTTTGAGGTTGCTTTGAGCTAGGCTGACGCCAGGGCACTCTAGCCCAGGCAACAACAGAGTGACACGATAATAAATGTCTCAAAAAAAAAAAAGAGTTAATCCCTTATTATTTAGGAAAAGTTAGCTATCCAAACTTGAATAGTTATGGTTTGTAATATCTTATTTCAATATATTAACTAATTAGTCCTCTACAATGGGATATTATAGCTGCCTTTACTGCTATTTTGTAGAAGAGGTATTAGATGATGAAATCTCAATGAACTGATCATTAAAAAGTTTCCTATTTGTTCTTGGAAGCAACTTTTTAACAGAAAGCACTGTCTAAAGATGGAATAAATTTCCTTAATAAGTATTGATATTCTAATTACTGAAGAAACATTTAGGTTACTTTTCAAGTCTCAGCCTGTATGTCTTCAGAGATCATTTGGAAATATTGTAGTAAATATTTTAGGCTTGCAGGTTCTTAGTTCTGTTTTACAAGGACTTGGTCACTGTAGCTCAAAAGTAGCAACAGACAATATGTAACCAAATGGACATGGGTGTGTTCCAATAAAATATTATTTGCAAAAACTAGTGACTGGCCCACAAGCTGTAGTTTTCTAATCCATGGCCTAAGTTTTCAGCTTAATCACTGAGAAAGTTGTTTAAATTCTTAAACTCTTTAGGTTTGTCATCTATGAGCAGTAAGAAAGCTGTAGAAAAGTCAACAATTTCTTGAAAATAATTTCCCCAGGTCCTTAAGATTTAAAAATCTCCCTTTTAACACTACATAAAACAACAAACACATTTAGATTTAAGTTTTTAAAACTTAGTTTGAGGAATTAAAAAATCTGTAAATGTAATAAAATCCCAGAGAACAGTGATGATGCACAATAAAGTTCTAGAGGGAAAGAGAAGGATGGGAAAGTTGAAATACACAAACTACTTTCCCTGCCTTTGTACTGCTACTATATGCCGGTTTCTGCCTTACAGTAAGATAGAAACAGGTCAATAAGATGATTCTGAAACAATAGGGAGAGCACAGCTGAAGCGTGTTTTAAAGCCCACAAAAACTCTACAAAGTGAATAATCAAGAATTGACTATATAAACAGAGATTTGGAAACTTACCATCTCTATTAGTTTCCCATTCTACATTTTCTTCTTCACTTTCTGGAGTTCTCTCCTTAGTGATTTTTATGTCTTCCTTTTCCCTATGTCTCCCTCTTGAAGATTCTTTCTAAAAAGCACATACACGTATTCAGATTACTACATTTCAAAAAACTATATGAAGTAATTATAATACAAAACATTTTAATTCCATTCAGATTTGTTTCATCAAAGAATCAGGTTTGTAAATATTCACTTATCTTCTAGGAAGAGGTAGTGACAAGTTCTGGTTTAGCACCACAATGAAAAGACTGTATCTATTTTATTAAAGAACAGAAACATGGTAAATGTAAGGAGTAGCTAAAATTTTAAAATATACAATGCAAATCTAATACTTTAATAAGCATTTAATATTCTACTACATTCTAAGTTTCTACATGAAAAAAATCACTGGGGAAAAGACAGTTTAAAATGGATAAAAGACAATAGAAGAATTTTAAAGTGTCCATATTTTCAATTGTCTACAAAAGGGCTAAACCATTCACTGTAGACTTCCAAAAATAATTAATATAAGACTTGTCATACACTAAAATAATAGCTATTTTCCTGCACACCTAAGGACAAATCCAAACTCATTTAATAATTTTATAAAGGCTTTTAAAAAAAGAGATTTTACCTATGTTGATGAAGCCAAATGGTACCTAAAATAGTCAGTAATTAGCCCTTAATATTGTAGCTAAAAAACAAGTTTTATTACACTTTATTCCAGGTAAACAGTAGCCTATACACAAAACAGGACAACAATAATTCAAAATATTCTATTGCATAAGACTCTAACCACATTTTACTAGGTAATGAGAAAATAAAGTAACCAGTGTTTTATAATTGTTATCTTTCACCACAATGAAATTCTTTGTTAACACTGTAAATACTGACTATGAAAGACACTGATATACAAGATTATTAGTGTACAAAGTTCTTTCTGAGCATGACTAGCCATATAATTTGGCCTCTTAAAACACAAATTAATTTTTCTTTGAAGTTTTCTTTTTAAACAACTCTAGAATAGATTATAATTGCTCCTATAAATTTTACATATTTAGGCATGAAGTCATGTTGTATTCTTGCCAAATGACATATATGGTTGCTGGTAAAACGACAGAGGCTGACAAAAATTATTAAAAATTAAATGAGAGTAAAACCTGCCATGGAAAAATGGTAAAGGATCAAGAATACAGAACTGGGCATCTTTTTGTACAAAGGACAAAAGGGGGAAAAAATAATCTATTTGTATTCTTAAAATATATTCTGTAGAACATTAATGAAGAACCATCCTACATTCCATACAACTTTTGGTTCTATGGATTAAACCCACTATAAACATACATTACTATATAACTATAGAAATTATCTCCAAATCGTTGAATAACATACTCTGTGCTTTCTATCTACTTAAAAATATTATGTAATATTCAACTACAAATCTAGTTTTAAAAGGTTTCAGGGCAGTAGTGCTGGTACTGCAAAATAAGCAAAATAATCTGTGAATTCGTAACACAGATTTTTAACAGATTTAAAACCAGCAATGTAATAATAAATTTCTTAATAATGCTTTATCTGAATATTTCATAATATTTACCCTAAAGACTGAAATGATGTACTTTTTGAGTTCTCCATGTTTTTCATTATGACTGATACTACCCCTAGAGATCATGTATAATTTCTATCATTAAACACTAGAGAACGAATGTAGGCTTCAATATGTGGTGGAATTTCAAATTAGGAGATATGTTTTTTCTAATACTTGTCACTTTTCAACCTCTAATCATAACATAGGAAATTGCCTTGATAACACTTACTAAGAAGGCCCAGGTCATTTAAAAGACTATCCCATTTCCTCATTTTCTCTACCTAAACAATGTGTAACTTGTTTGGGCATGTAATTTCTTTCATTAAACAAAGTTATTTCTTTCTTTCTCTTATCACAGTCAAATAAATAGTATCTGAAATTATTTGTCCTGTGTAATGTAGTATGGTCTGCTATTTCTTGAACAGAATGCCCTGTTATCTTCTCTTAAATCTAAACATATTAATTAGAAGTATAACCTTTTGATTACTTCATTATGTATTCTAAATTAGTCATCCTGGAACATCTACATCTTGAAATACTTGTTAAAGAACCACAATATTTTAGCCGAAATCTTTGGGACCAGATATTTTAAGAATTGATAATTTTTTTGCATTTCAAAGTATTTTAAGTAACACTGCTACTTAGGGTAGGGAACAGCAGCAGCCTGTGATCAAACATACTAATATTTTTGCAGCAAAACAGAAATTCACCAATTAGGTAAAGACTATAATTAAATTCATCTCAATTAAGATCAGGTTTTGCTCCCAATAAGTCTGTGTCTAACTTAGGAAAAATGTTTGAAGTTTCTTGGATTTCAGAAATGCAATACATGATGTAGACTTTTACTTTAAATTACTTTCATATCTACTCTATAGTATATTCTCATTTACTTCTTGAACATTGTATGTGTGGGAATATTATATTCATTGTGAGTTTTAGATAGTAAGGAGGCATTACAAAGAATATGAAATAAAAAGGAGGTGTTGAGGCCAATAGAGTTGAGAATCAACATTATAATAACTGGATTAGTAACTAGAATAAAAAATGTTAGGAGCTTTTATAAGTAATATAAACCAAACTCCTATCCCATGGAGAAAAATTGTCTTTAATATTTGTATAGTTATGGGAGCCCACTATTAGAAAACTTTTGGGGGACATAATTTAGCTCACAAAGTATCCACTGATAGCTTTCCCCTGTCACACCCCTTGTTCCCATTTCTAGACAGTTCTAATTATTAGAAAATTCTTTCTTATATCGGTCACATCTTTCTTATGTCTCTTTAGAATTTCTACTGATTAGGACTAGCTCTGACTTCTAGAATCATGCATAACAAATCTAATCTTTCTTCTACATGCTAGCCCTTTAAATACCTGAACAATGTTACTAAATCTCTTTAATATCTTCTTATACCAGAACAAAGGCCAAAGGATAGACTATATGTTTGGCATACACTCACATTCCATGATTTTCACACTACTCATCACTCTTTCATCTCTGGGCAAACTAATCTGCTAGTGTGCTTCAATAAAACATGATACTCTGAACAAATCTAGGTTTGCCACAGCAGCATAATACATAAAGCTTCCACCTCTCCTGCTATAGAATGTTAATTATAGTTGCATTAATGAAGTCTAACTTGTGGGAGCATAAAGGAGTTTTGGTGGATCTTCCACTAAGAAACTATAGTATTATAAACTATACAAATTTAAGCTACAATCTGACATAAAATGAACTCTATAAATAGTATAAACTTCAGAACTAGGTGATTTAGTAACAAGGAAATCACCAAAGACCAAATTTTCTGTCTTTTCCTTTTTTGTGCATTCTCATAGCTCTGCTATTCCTAATGTTGACTTCCCATTAGGGTCTATTTCTTTTGCCATAATAAGAAGCAATCTGGGTTTCCTCTCCTCCAAGCACAAAATAAGAATTCTTTCCTTCAGTGTGACTAGGCCCAACTTTAGTCACTTGATTACCTCCGAATCAATAATTGCTGTTAAGGTAACGACCACGGGCTAACCAGCTTAGACCTGGTTCTGAATCAACTGAATTAGCAAAGGAATGGGATTATTATAATTGAATTAGACTAATCAGGGTCTAACTGTGAAAGTGGGATCAATTCCCCAAACCATAAAGCTGATACGAAATGAAAAAGTGGTGGAATGGGTTCTGGAGAATCCAAAGTAATTTACACTACAATTGGTATTACACTTCACTTACTTCCTCATGGCAGAATGACACATTTCTGATAACTTCATAAAAGCTACAACAAGACAGGTTTACTAACCAAGTACACATTTTCTCCTTTATTATTAAGATTTCACACCCTTCTTCTGAGGTCATTTTCCATCTTCCTGATGTATATCCTTTTAGAAATTCTCTATTTAGTGAAGGTCTACTGGTAGGCAACACTCTTGATTTTGTCTGAAAAGGTCTTTATTTTATCCTTATTCTTGAAAAACAGTTTTGGCTGGGTACATTTGGGTTGAAAAGATTTATCTTAACATATTGGAAATATTACTCCACTGTCTTCGGCTTCCACTGTTTGCTAATGATGTTGTCCTGTTGCAACTTTTAGGAGGATTTGCCTTTTTTTCTCAGATGTTTCTAATATTTTTTCTATGTTTCTGGTGTTTTGAAGTTTTAATTACAATATTCTACTTGATATGTATTTTGCTTACTGTATTGGCAGATTTATGTCTAATCAATTGTGGGAAATTTCTCATCCATTATTTCTTCAAATGTTGCCTCTCCAACATTCTAGTTTTTCCTTCTAGGATTCCAATTAGACGTATGTTAGAGTTTCTAAACATATCCCCACATCTTTAAAACTTTACAGTATTTTTCATAATCTCTCTTTATTGTGCTAATTTCAGGATAAATTCTTCAGCTCACAAATATTACCAGGTCAAGTAATTCTATTCCTTACTAGTAGAATTAACATTTTGTGCCTAAAAGTCTTCCTAACCCAAGTGTCTGTTTCCTATATTATCTCACCTCTTATACTGAATATGCTTACATCTTTCCAAAACTACTTAGGGACATTTCCTTAGAGGTTAACAGATAAAAATTATTTCAGAACATTTAGTCAAAGAATGACTCAATTATTTGTATACCAATAAAGTTCTCACCTTTTACTAATATACATTGTAAAACATCAATACAAATTTATCCATTACAGGTCTAAAGCTATTATCATTCATAGCAATAATTCCCTATTATAGTAAAGAATATAATATCACATGGTTTTAAACATCCAATGTTTTATGCAAGAGACTTTTTCTTATCCCTCTCCTTTTATATTTTAAAAATGCTTCCACATCCTACTGCTCTATGGCCAGGCGTGGTGGCTCACGCCTGTTATCCTACCACTCTGGGAGGCCAAGGCGGGCAGGTTGCTCCAGGTCAGGAGTTTGAAACCAGCCTGAGCAAGAGTGGAGACCCCATCTCTACTATAAATAGAAAGAAAGTAATTGGCCAACTAATATATGTAGAAAAA